CTCAAGGCCAACACACACACAAACAAGCTCCCTGCTGCTAAACAGCCAAAAGCCTGTGGAAAAGAAAAACCGAACCAAACAAACCTGAAAGGGGGGTGCAAAACTAGTAAAAATGTGAAGGTCAGCAAATGGGAACATAACAGTCTCGTGACCCTGAAGCCAGTGTGTTTTGAGGAAACCAAGGAAGCTCGAAAGGCAGGTTTGGATTGGTACAGAAAGCATGGGGAAGAAAGGTCCTTGGACAAATGCCCCCCCCCCCCCCAAAAAAAAACCCCCAGGACTTAAAACCCTCCCAAAAGCTGAAGCAAGTCGGAGATCAACAGCAGACCCTGGACGACCTGTGAATGGAACAAAAACTCCCGTCCACCCCTCCCCCTCTTCTTCTTACATTACACCCAGGCTTGGCCAGCCTCGGGTAGTGCGGGTGTAAGTATAAAAGTGGGTTAGGGCTTGTGGCATTAAAGCTTGCTTCCTTCCTCTGAGTGACGTGGGGAACCCCCCGCCCCACAGCGCTCTCTGCTGTTATTTTATTATTTTATCAATAAAGCTTTAAAACTCAGTTACTTGGTGTGCTCCATCCTCTCCTCCCCTAACAATCCTGCGGCCTCAGCCTGACGCTTCAGGCAAATTGGTAACAAAAATCTGTCACAGTGCACATAACAAAATTCATGTGGTGGTGGTGGGGCAGAGGGGTTTGGAGTGTGGGAGGGGGCTCAGGGTGGGGGCAGAGGGTTTTGGGGGGGGTGCAGGGGTGTGAGGGCTCTGGCTTGGGGTGCAGGCTCTGGGGTGGGGCCGGGGATCAGGGACTCAGGGCTGGGGCAGAGGGTTGGGTGCAGGGGCTGAGGACTCCAGCTAGGGGTCAAGGCTCTGGAGCAGGGCCGGGGATGCGGGGTTCAGGGTGTGGGAGGGGGCTCAGGGCCAGGGCACAGGGGTTTGGGGTGCAGGCTGCCCCCCAGCCCTCTCTCACCACAGAACTTGGGGCCGACGGAGAGGTACCTCTCCCCGGGCTCAGCAGCTCCGGCTGGGCTGGGCTGGGCTGAGGGAGGGGCTCCTCTCCTGGCAGCTCCGGTGGGCCTTGGCTGGGGCAGGGGAGGGGCTCCTCTCCCCTGGCCGCAGCAAGTCCAGGGCAGGTCCTCGCTGTGGCCCGGTGGAGAGGGGCGCCTATCCCCTCCACGGCAAATCCTCACAGGGTTAGAAGCATCTCTCCCTGATGGAGCCCTGAGCCCCTGTGCGGGACTTAATAGGCAGCTGCACAGCCGTGCAACTTAGAGGGAACTTAGTTTATTGGGGCCTGTTTATTTTGCCCCTGCCACTGTAAAGTGAGCCTCTCTTAGGGCCATGATTCCGCTCTGAGGGAGAGGGAACCTTTAAAACATCTCTAACAGTGACCTGAAATGCTTTTCTCTACCTAAAAAGAGTAACTGTTTTTAAGTATGGGATCATGGGACCTTCAGGAGTAAAAAGTGCTATATATCTAAATGCAAAGTTTGAGAGTCTCCCCTCAAGTGGTATAAAGGTCCTGTTTCTAATCCTGGAACTGACTATTGCATGTTGGTGTTTCAGGCCAGTATAATGTAGGGGATGGAAATTCCACAGGCTAGTATAATGTTGGGGGTGGAAATTCCACATTCAGGAGAAAAAGTGTTTCTGTGGCAGGTTACTGAGAAACTAAACTAAAATTTGAAGCTGTTTAGGGGATTAGAATGATAGAAGTAGTCCCAGGGGAGTGGATTAGTGGGCAGAATGCAGGTGAGGCAGCCAGAGGTGTGTGATTAATGTAGTTTATCACATGACTATGGCCATCACTAATGTGGTGAGTATGCAAAAGATACTGTATAGATAGAAAACAACTCATCTTTAACTGTACAATATTGGCAAATTGTCTCCAGAACTATAGTGTCTACTAACATTAGAAAGTAGCAGACATTTTAGAATGACTCCTCTTGGGTAACATTTCTAAAACAAAACCAAATCAATGTACCTAGGGGTCAAGGCTCTGGAGCAGGGCCGGGGATGAGGGGTCCAGGGTGTGGGAGGGGGCTCAGGGCCCAGATATCTGATATCATTTATGTGCTGTCTGTATCAGAGGATTCCTCCATCTGTTATGAACTGTCCATTTGTGAATAATGGGAACCTCAGGTCCAGATTATAATGGAGGTTGTTTGGGAAAAAAGCAGCATCCCAAAATTCTTTGCTAGGCTACTTGGGAAATGCCCTTCGAGCCCTCTGCCAATCCCAGATGGGACACAGCGAGCAGCAACTCCCAACCAGCACAGTTTCCCTGCCTTGTCAGAAGCTGTCATGGCAGTAGAATGGACTGACACATCAGCACAGCATGTTCTGGCTTTCATATGAGCAATGCTGAGAATAGAGCGTGTCAGGGTTCCCGCCCCACTCCAAACTCTGGGGTACAGATGTGGGGACCTGCATGAAAGACCCCCTAAGCTTATTTTTACCAGCTTAAGTTAAAAACTTCCCCAAGGCACAAACCTTTCCTTGTCCTTGGACGGTATTGCTGCCACCACCAAGTTATTTAGACAAAAATTCAGGAAAAGGGTCACTTGGAGTCCCTTGTTCCCCAAAATATTCCCCCAAGCCCCTTCACCCCCTTTCCTGGGGAGGCTTGAGAATAATGTGAGTACTGACCAGACCCTTTGTCTCTAGGACACTGAAAAATCAATCAGGTTCTTAAAGGAAGAACTTTATTTAAAGAAAAAGTAAAAGAATCACACCTGCAAAAATCAGGATGGAAGGTAACTTTACAGAGTAATAAAAAGATTTAAAACACAGAGAATTCCCCTCTAGGCTCAGCTTCAAAGTTACAAAAAAACAGGAATAAAACTTCCTCTTAACATAGGGAAAATTCACAAGCTAAAACAAAAGATAATCTAACACATTTCCTTGCCCTTACCTAACATTTTTGTAAACTTAGGTGCTCATTTCAGGTATGTTTTCAGGAGATGTTTTTTCTGCCTGGTCTCTCTCTCTCTGTCCAGAGAGGGAACAAACAAAGAGAGCACAAACAGCCCCCCCTCAGATTTGAAAGTATCTTCTTTACTTATTGGTCCTGTTGGTCAGCTGCCAACCAGGTTATTTGAGCTTCTTAACCCCTTACAGGTAAGGATTCAGTACAGCTGCTCAGGAGGGATTTTGTGCTACCCTTAGCTGTATGTTTATGACAGAGCTACTGGATGTTTTCTTTTTTTCTCCCCAAGGAAATTAAATCTCTCCAGGCTGCCTGCTCACTCCTTAACCTATTGCGTCAGCTCCTGTGTTAGTGCATTTGCTCAGGTCTCAGGGGCCTCAGGTTCCATTACAACCATTTCATGCAGATCAGAAGTGGAGTAGTTATAATGGTTTCTTGGCTGTGTCCCAGGAGAAATGTTTTCCATGTACAGGAGCAGTGTTCTACAAAATCAGCATGGAGTCTGCCTGAGAAAGGAAGCATGTCTGTATTTGATAGGAAAAGACTGACCCTTTACTCCTGCCCTGTCTTTAATGTATTAAATCCAACAAGCCTGTATGCTTGTTTGGTTTTTTTTTCTGTTAAGTCTTAATATCAGTTTGTTGATCAGTTTGTCTCCTTATCCTGTCCCTGAGCCAAGTACTTCTGTTAATGGGTTGCCCACAGCTGGTAGAGTTTTTAAAAAGACACTTGAGGGTCCAGAATAATCAATTCTCGCATGTAGAAGGGTAAATCACACACACCTGTGCCCACTAGGCCCTAGCCCTGGGGAAAGACATGGATCCCAAGGGGGGGAAGATGGCAATATCAACCCTGGCCTCCCCTCCTGGGCTCATTCTGCAAAGTGGGTCAGCTTTAATTTGCATCTGGAGCTCCACAGGAGTCCTTCTATTGGAGGCTGACAAGGGCATTTGCTAAATCAGTGCATCCTCTGGCCATTCTCTGTTCCCTGGTCTTTGGGCTGCTCTGGTCATCTGCAGCCATGTGTCCCTGGCAAAAGAGAGCTTGTGGATGCTTTGTTCTGGTGCAACCTCTTCCACTTGCACCCCTTACTATAGCCTTTCTCTGCTGGGGCTCAGTCTCACAGTCTATGCCAGCAGATGTATATACACATACAGCCCATAAAGCTAGCAAAGCTTCTGCAAACAAACAAGTGGTTCCAGCCATCTGTCCAAATGAATGATGTATGCTGGAACCTGTCCTGAACTTTCCATAGAGAATATAAGTCATACATTTCATTGATTGGTGAAAACTGCATGTATTTGCCACTTTCCTGTTTTAATACCTGAAATCATACATTTTGATTATGTATAGTAAAATATCAGAGGCTGGATTGTAATTGGAACAGCCGCAGATCTGAGATGAGGAAGACCGAGGGTGAAGTGGGAGGACCACCTCTACTGTTGCCTGTTCCTGGGACCCATGAAGGTCACCCTCTCAGAGCTCAGTGGGGTCAAGGCTCCACTATATTGGGGCAGGAGGAGGAAGCAGGGGACTATATTCTCTGTGGCATATCTTCCTAGTGGGCCTTCTGGTTCCCAAGGGGAAATGCTACTTAAATTGGATGGCTGTGCCCTCAGCCCCCTCTATAAACCCCAACTTTTCCAACCACAGAAGGGGTCAGTTAAGTCAGCCTATGAAGTCTCCGGCCCTTCACCCCTTCCTATGGGTTCTCCACAGGAGGGCTCAATCTGACGCTAGGAAACACTCCCAAAGGGGGTAATTTATAATTGGATTGTTGGCCTGGTAGGTCAACAATTCTTGTATGGCAACCCAACTTTGATAGTGCCTTTTAATGAAGAGATAAGGGTCATCTGTGTAGCCTAGCAATAGACAACCCAATTTTGAATCACAGAATCAGCTGCTTACTCATTCAGGCTATGGGAGTTGGGAGTCAACTCAGCAATTCAGGGATGGGAATGGGATTCAGGCCTTGTGTCATGTGAAACATTCATCACTGTGTTGGATGTGTACTTTTTTTACCATAAAGATGCTGTGGTTTTGCTAACAGATTGTTTCCTCTCTCTTTCTTTAGCAGGAAGGAGCGTCCTAACTCTCTGAATGTCTTCCCCCTTGCCGATGGAATGGTACGTGGGCAGATAGGGGCCAAGATCATCCCCACAGTGGACCACTGGCACTTGAGTGACCTCGGCCAGCTGCAGTCCAACTCCAGCTACAAGGTTTTATAGATTGTCACGGAACAAGGGTTTCCCACTGTCAATAGCATCCTACATCTTCATAAAGACAGAGACCACCATGTGTCCTTAACCCTTTGCAGCCTCTCCCTTTTGTACATCTGATCCTTTCTTATAACAGAACCCTGGGTAGGATGATAGATCTTCAGATGCTGATAAATTTGACATAGGGTGGAGGACTGGTTTTGACACAACTCATGTTTTTTGTCACTTTCTGATTTTTGTTTCAGTTCTAATTCCTGCTAGTTAGTGTTTTCTGCTGATGGAGTTTGACCTTGGTTGAGGGAAGTGTGTGTGTGTGCGCGTGTGTGAGCGAAGTTAAGCACCCCTCTTGACCAGATCCAATGCTGTTTATGAATCATTTGGTGGCGGAAATGATGGAACCAGTCTTCTGCTCCATCATGGGAACTGTGTCTCACTTGGGGCTGGGCATTCTGCTGCTGTGCCATAATCTGCCCTTTCTAGTTGATCTTTGTTTTAATCTTCCTGTCTTTCAGTTCATCTACACTAGACAAAAAACGTACTGCCACCACCACTGATGGTAGCAACACCTAATGCCTACAGTGTATCGAAAACGCTTTGTGTCATTATACAAATTGCTCAGCTGCTATAGAGTGATTGATACAGTGGATTGCATTGTGCCACTGTGGAGCAAGCCTTTATGTCACCTTCACAGTCTACACTGGTGATCTGCTTGCATGGACAAGAAATCACAGCACTGCAGCTATACTAGTGCTGCTGGCCCTCCCACCGCCATCCTACAATGCTGTGCTTCTCCTTTCAATAACTGATTTGTGCAACGAGCCCCAGCAACTGTATCCCTAGCATCACCCCCAACATCTTCCCCAAGCTAATGCCCTTTTGCCTAGGGTTCCACAAGATTCTCTTTCCTCGAATCCTTTCCAGCAGGCCTGATAGCATTTGAGGTATTTGTGAAGCTGTGCCTGGAGCATGCTGGTCATTTCCCCCCAATTCCAGTAGGTGTGACAATAGCTGGTCTCTGCTGGAAAAATGTCAGCTTAAGTACACCAGCTTCTCTGAATGCATTATTTTAAAAAATCTGTTTGAATAAAATGCCTTTATAAACACATCCATTTATTAATATTAAACTGGGCAAAACGGAAGCTCCTGTAAAATAAAAGTTATAAACCACTAATGCTGTAAATAACACTAAAAATGTTGTGGCGGGGTGATGGGGCAAAGAGAGAAAGAAAATATTATATTTCAGCCTCGTATGTTACCCTGGCCTGTCCATGGCATCCTCATTGGGAGGTGCTTCATCAGCAATTTCCAAACACTTGAGGGAAAGACCGAAGAAGGAACATTGGAATGAAATTGCTTTGATTTTCCAGCTATCCTAAAGAGGCCATACTGCCACCAAATGAAAGATGGATCTTAGTTCACATTCAGTGGCACTCCACCACCACTGATTTCCCCTTAGCTCCCTGGGCTACTGGCCTAGCAGTGTGAGGGCATGGTATCTCAGGGCACATGCACAGGTCCTTGGGTAGGACTGAAACAATTTTTGGAACCCAACCACTGCTGTTCCTTCGAACCAGAAACTCGGGATTGGCTGGCATAATGGTATAAAAGTGTGATGGAACATTGACCCTGGAAACTTGGCCAAAATGCCCAGAATACCGTTCAGATCTCATGATAGTTTGCAAATTTCCAAAAAGCCCCTGTTCTGGAGAACTGTGCTGGGAACTGAGATAAGAGTCCCACAGTGCACTGGTGTGATCAAGGATGGAGGGATGTAGAAATGGCACAAACATTTTTCTATAAACTGATTTGCAGTCTGCCTGTGCTGCACCTCTGCTAGGAGACACAGTCCAACCAATACTTGCATGCACTCTTTATCCCCATGGCAGTGCATTCCCTAACACTTTCATTTAATCAGTTCTGTGTATCTTTTGCAGGGGAGAGTAGGGAGAAAGATGGAGTTGCATCCATTTTAATAGACTTGGTGAGGCTGCTGCTCTGTAGCACAGAGACTAAAAGCTTCTTACCCATAGCTGTCTGCAGTTTATCAATAACTCACTCTCTGCATTTCAGGAAATTCAGCAGAAAGTTAAATAAAACTATAGAAACCTTGAATTCTGAGTTCAGGCAGTGGAGGTTACTAACTGTATCTTTTTGGAATTTGTTTATGCTTGTATCAGGCAAAGAAATCAATTTATAATGGAAAGAAAATATTGTGCCTTGCTGACAGTGTTCAGCTATGAGCATATCCATCAGGTAACAGTGATAAATGTTCCGTGCTTGTTAAGAAAAGCCCAATTATGGGATACTGTGTTTAAGGAAGGTAGCCTCTTGGGGGTGGGTTATGGAAAATCCTGGATGCATATGTTGTTAAGGTAGATATCCTAAAGCAGAATAATTCATAGCTTGTGGAAGATATAGCATGAGTAAGTGTTGGGTAGTGGAGGATACTAAGTGGGTAATGGGTTCACTGATTGGGATGGAGGTATGCAAACCTCTTAATGGCTCTCTGTTAGGCAGTACTTTCTGCTTGAAGTATTATTTAATAAATGCTCTTGCTTGGCTGTTGAAATGCATTGCAGTGCTGCAAATATTTTATGGTGACTTTACTATGCTTTTCTTTTGTGGTGCTCTAAGTTCTTTCTGTGTTGGGAACATAGCTGATGTTCCCCTGCTATCAGGTGCACACTGATAGCTTACCTGCCTGGTCTTTTTTCTTCTAACTCTCTGAGCTGATTTTTCATCTTCAAGAGTCTGATTATTAAATATTTTTACATTTTCATTATTATTATTATTTTGTATTTATTTATTGGTTTTTGCATCTTACTTTTTATAACTAGATTAGGTTTTGTTTTGCTTTTGTTTTTTTACATTTAACATTTTATATTTTGGAGATTTAGTCCTTAATGCTTTTTGGGTTTGTTTTTATGTACTGTATTTTCAGTGTTAAAACCATAGAATTGTGGCTACTCATGGTGACATATTACTCCTATGAATTTTGGGCTTTTGCAATGCATTTTGGAGGTCATGGCTACACATCTGAAGTTTAGGAGGCTCACAGGTCTGACTCTAGGTAAGTGGCGGCTATGGAGAGTATCCTTTTGTATGTGAAGGATTATGGAGATCGCCCCCTGGACTGTATGATAGCTAGTCAGTGAGGGAGATTTGGTGGTAGAGAGGGGAAGAAGGAATATCTCAGCAGTGTCTAGTAGAGTTCCTGGAAGGTTAAAAGGAATATCTTGGCTTTATCTAAGGGTTTTGAAGTGGATGTTCCCAAAGCAGACTGGTTGGCTGTGGAGAATATTCCCTAAGTAAGTGGAAAATTAAGATGCATAACCAGCGGTGTGTGGTAGACCATGGTGGTTATCCCATGAGTATGTTTTGATTGAAGGGAAGCAGCAATGCATGGGGCATGCTTTTGAGACAGATGTGGAATAGGAGTAGCACCCATGGCATTGGTGGTTTAGTGTTTCTGAATATGGTTTCTTTGAATAAGGACTGAATTGCAGACTGGGCCACGTATCCATTTCAAAGCTATGAGCTCCTTCTAGGCTGTGGTATTGAGAAGGATGATAGGCACAGTGCATGCAGCAACATCCCAGAACTCTGCCAAATGTCTCAGGCTCAGTTTCTGGGGGAGGGTTTTATTTACATTTTACACTGAGTAACAGTGCATTTTTAGCCCCTTTGCTTCCAGGCCTTGGGAGTGCACTGGCAGGTGTTTGTCAAAGTAACGTAAGTCCCAATGCATTGGAGTTGTCCACGAAACCCTCTGATTTGATACTTTGCCCTTGCACATTAGAATGGAGGCACCCAGAATAGGAATTTTAAAAAGTTGTGAGCAGTCTAATATTCAAATATAGCAGCCTAAGTAAAATGTCTGTATTTCAAATTTGGTGCCCAAATCAGCAAGTAGATTCACAAATGACCATTTAATGCACCAAGATGATGATCTGAACATCCATACAGAAGAAGTGGGTGTGCTATTTGGGCTCACAATCCAAAAAAGTCAAGCAAAAAAAGTGGATAAAATTTGATAGCAACATTGTAAAAAAACAAACAAATTCAATTTCAGTGTCTGCACCATAAATAATCAGGAAATGGGTGTGGCATGGGACACTTGGTTTCCTTACTTCAGTATACTGCAGAAATGAGCATGGACAGGGAAACTTCAATGTGTTTCTAATTAAAGTAGTATGTCAATAACAGGTACTTTTTCTTTTTTTTTTAAATAAAGAATGCATGGCTGCCAAGGGTTACATTGCCATTTTTTCCATTATCTTCATTCCCATCCCACTTTGTAACTGTTTTGTTGCATCATAAAATCGTAAGGAAGGAGGACTGTAGAACAGACTTCCAAACAACTGAGGTGCAGACATCACAGTTCCAACTGTGAGGCCTAAGGTAGTAGCTAGTTTTAAAGAGTAATTAACAAACTAAGTAGAAGCAGGTTTCAGAGTAAGCTTCCTAGTAACTGCACAGAAGATAAGATGCAAATAAGGATGGCAGTAACTATAGTAAGGAAACGGGAGGCATGGGTATATATCAAATGGCTTTTCTACCCAACTGGAAAACATTGTAGTATGTTGCTCTAGAAGTTCAGGCAATGCTTTAAGTGGCCTTGGGGTGGGAGGTGTGTGTGTGTGTCTGTCAGTGTGGTTAGAAACCCTGCCAAGAAGACCAGGGAGATCTCATTTGGGTCTGAGGCCAACTGGTCACCGATGAGAAGGTGAACTTGCCGAGTCTGAAACAGTGCTTCCTTAATGGGCAAGCAGGGAGTGCAGCATCAAATGCTGTAGTATTCTTGAAAGCTTCCTGTATTTTTTAGAATGTGGTAGGATGAGGAATGGGACCATAATTTATGTTGAACAGGGACTTGGTTGTGCACATTTCAGGTTGGAAATACATCTCAAGGGTTTATTTATGACGTCTTTTGATTTCTGAACTCTTGGTCCTGTCTTTCATCCAGTTGGGGAGAACCACATGTGTTGTCATCCTGGGTCCATGCCTGGCTGTATTCTACGTGAGCTGATACAGGCATGTAGCTCTCCCCTACTAGTGAAATAAGACCATTTCAGCTTGATTACCACTTTACTTCAGCTGCCTAGTATCAAAAATACATACCTGTCCCTTCAAATGAAGTCGTAGCATTAGAAATCTATTAAACAAGTTCTGTGCCAATGACCTACTGTAATGATGGATCCAGAGCATCTATGAGGCTGCTTCATAGAAGGCTGTATCACTTTCCAGAAATGATTGTGCTTTCCTTCTTGCACTGGGTATCTTGGAAGACATTGGCCTGATTTTCAGAAGTGCTGAGCACCCATAAATCCCTGTGAAGTCAAAGGGAGCTGCAGCTGTTTTTCACCTTTGAAAATCAGGTCACAATCCTTTATGAGTAGATCTCATATCTCACATAACTTCTGAAGACCTGAAATGCCATCTGTGTTGGTAATAAAGGAAGAGGGGGATCAGTATTTAGACCAGGTAGGATTTGCTTGCTGAGTTCTGCACAGGAACTTGCTATTCATTTGCAGTGCCAAGCAGGCACAATGAGCTCTGGGTGTTGAGTTTGTGGTACTCATTTCCCATAATTTGCTATAAAGGCATCCATCAATCCAGTAAATAAGAAATTATCTGAAACATATAGACGTGCTTTTTCCTTTCTGTTTTCTCCTTCTTTGTATTGCCATAGTGCCCAAATGATGAAATGTCTGAATCTGGGCAGTCTTCTGCAGCTGCCACTCCAAGCACCACTGGGACAAAGTCCAACACACCAACCTCATCTGTGCCCTCTGCTGCTGTCACACCCTTAAACGAGAGTCTGCAACCCATCAGTGACTACAGTGCCACAGCCAAAAACAATAAGAGGGCACGGGAAAAGCGGAACAGCAGGAACATGGAAGTGCAGGTCACCCAGGAGATGAGGAATGTCAGCATAGGTATGGCAGGTGTTTTCATCTGTATATATTCTTTGCTAGCCAACTTGTTGCATGTCTACTTTGATTTTACAATGCCCATGTATGTCTTTTATTAAATACCGGAAGAGGTCTGGGGGGACTGAAGGAATAACTAGCTTAGTTCAACTGAAAGACAATGCTCTCTGTTTATTAAGGGTACAGTTGGAAGTAGGGGACTAAAGGAGGGTGATATGCTCATTTATGCTTGATGGTAGGACTATACTTGCTTTTTGGACAGTGGCATGTTTTGTGGAGGAAAAATAAAAGATTCATTGACATGGATCCAATTTCCAAGTGTATTGCAACTGACTTAGAGGAAATTTCTTCTGTAAAGCTCCCAAATGAGTTCCTGACAAAGTGAAACCACAAAACAGTAGAAAAATCTTGCGCTGTAGACTTTGACTGAGGATGCCAGTGTTGAAATCCCATTTTGTAATTATATTAGCAGGCTGCTTGCTACCAGGATCACAGTCCCCTGGCTGGCAGAAGGCAATGTAGTTCCTCAAGAAGTACTTACATACTGGGTGCCTAACCAATAAGTCGGTATCTTTTTAGTGATGTAATTTAAGCCAGCATAGTATAATTCTCCGCACTGGGAGACAGACATAGAAGTCTCGGTTCTCTCCACTCTCCATCACTGGCCTGTATGGGTTGGCAGGAGCTTCATCTTTCTTCGTTCATCAAATAATGACTCCAGAACATGCATCATATTAGAAACAGATTAGGTTGCATGTATTTTGTACATTGCTACTTCCACTTCACAATTTCATATAATTAACAGTTAAATCAGATGTATGCATGAGAATTTGTATATTCAAGTTGTTCCTATTTAAAGTGATTCAGTCATGATTTATAACTCTAATAATTTTTGTTATAGAATAAATTAAATTATTGTATGTTTTTATATCTTTTACAATGTTGCAAAATGAGAGGGAGGTTTTTACTGAGAGATTAAAAGGACATTATTTGGTGTTGAATCTTTCTTAAGTGACTGTAACTGTGCCCAAAAAAGATGACCTCATTTAAAACAGTTTTACCTTTAGAATTCTGGAGTTATTTTTAAAGTTTAATATCCAGAAGTACTTCATTACCCCAGCCCAGTTACCCCACTGGCTGATGGTATTGCCACTGGCATGCTTCCAAGAATCCCCTATTTCTCACACCTGCTCATGATGGTAGATCCCACTTCTATCTTTCCCCAGGAATTTTGGAACACACCTTCCCAGCTATAGTTTGTGACTCACTAGAAATCCATCTACACTCTAACTTTAACACTTTGCACATGGTACCATAGCAATCTTGAGAGTGCTCCCCATTATCCTTTTTGATACCCAAACAGCTTAAGACCAGTCAGAGAATACAGTCCCTAGAGTGGAACAACTGTTGACCTTCTATTCTGCTGGATCTGTCTCTTATCTGTGTATTATCTTTTGTAGGAATGGGTAGCAGTGATGAGTGGTCTGATGTTCAGGATATCATAGACTCTACGCCAGAGCTGGACATGTGCCAGGACCCCCGACTGGAGCACACTGGAAACAGGTACTTGCTTTTATCTTTTGTAAGTATGCTATTTACTCTCCTTCATGTAACTTCGAGGACTGAAGAGAGACTCTGGGTTAAAGAGTTTGTGTAATTAATGCTGCATAGAACTATGATACATGTTAATGCGGTGGAGACACTGGTGTATGAGCAATCATTGGATCCTTACTTCCTCTGCCTAGTGCATAATGAAGGATCCCTCAGGCACAAAACTCCCTGTTATCATGGCAAGAACACAAGCTCAAAGTCTGTGTGAGAAATCTCCTCCAGATGATCCACAGTTGGACTGGTTTCAGACAGTACAGTTTGCCATGCTCCAATGAGAGAAGGGAAGGTGGCATGATAAAAGAGAGAAGACAGACTAACGAGGTATGGGGTTTATGGGCTGAAGTGGTGAGACCTCACCTTGTATACTGTGTGCAGTTCTGGTCTCCCATGTTTAAGAAGGATGAATTCAAACTGGAACAGGTACAGAGAAGGGCTACTAGGATGATCCAAGGAATGGAAAACTTGTCTTATGAAAGGAGACTCAAGGAGCTTGGCTTGTTTAGCCTAACTAAAAGAAGGTTGAGGGGAGATATGATTGCTCTCTATAAATATATCAGAGGGATAAATACCGGAGAGGGAGAGGAATTATTTAAGCTCAGTACCAATGTGGACACAAGAACAAATGGATATAAACTGGTCATTGGGAAGTTTAGACTTGAAATTAGACAAAGGTTTCTAACCATCAGAGGAGTGAAGTTTTGGAATAGCCTTCCAAGGGAAGCAGTGGGGGCAAAAGATCTGTCTGACTTTAAGATTAAACTGGATGAGTTTATGGAGGAGATGGTATGATGGGATAACATGATTTTGGTAATTAAATATTCGTGGTAAATAGGCCTAATGGCCTGTGATGGGATGTTAGATGGGGTGGGATCTGAGTTACACAGGAAAGAATTTTCTGTAGTATCTGGCTGGTGAATCTTGCCCATATGCTCAGGGTTTAGCTGATCGCCATATTTGGGGTCGGGAAGGAATTTTCCTCCAGGGCAGATTGGAAGAGGCCCTGGAGGTTTTTTGCCTTCCTCTGTAGCATGGGGCACGGGTCACTTGCTGGAGGATTCTCTGCCCCTTGAAGTCTTTAAACCATGATTTGAGGACTTCAGTAGCTCAGACATAGGTGAGAGGTTTTTCGCAGGTGGGTGAAATTCTGTGGCCTGCGTTGTGCAGGAGGTCAGACTAGATGATCATAATGGTCCCTTCTGACCTTAGTATCTATGAATCTATGAAAAGAGAAAAAGCCAATTGTCTAGTAAACAGTCAGTCCTGAATTACATTTCAAAATCCAGATCCTTCTCAGGTTTCATAGAATATGAGGGTTGGAAGGGACCTCAGGAGGTCATCTAGTTCAACCCCCTGCTCAAAGCAGGACCAATCCCCAATTTTTCCCCCAGATCCCTAAATGGCCCCCTCAAGGATTGAACTCTCAACCCTGGGTTTAGCAGGCCAATGCTCAAACCACTGAGCTATCCCTCCCCCCACATATAGGTTTGCCATATATAGGTTGGCACCTGACAATGAGTGACCTTTTTGGTGAAGTCCTCTGTTGCTATGGTTTATGCTTGATTAGAACACCAGCTTCCCCTTAAGTGGAGGGTTGCCTGAAGGCCATTCATTTGGTGCATCAGTGCTGCCAGACATATAATAGCCTAGATGTATGTATGGCAAAGAGAGGCAATAAAGGGCAAGTGTTTTATATGCATATGGTGAGTGGTCTTCATTTGGACAAGCACCGTACAGGGGAGGAGACATGAAGAATTTTGATGATGTAGGAACGAGGAGTGAAGTTTCCTCTTAGGATGGCGTGGCCAGAATGTGTGAGAGACATGTGTAATATTCAGAGATCAACAGCAGGAGGAACCACTGTAGCAGAGCCAGTTGTGTGTGTTGTATGCCATGAGAGTGGCTGATGTTCAGACTGATTATTCTTCATCTCATGAATAGAGAAGAATCCCAGGGATGCAGCTACAAGGAGAGAGCCCTTTAATCAAGGATATCTGTGCACCAAGACGACAGATTGCGGGCGGCCAGCTGGAAACACAAAGTACAATGGGGTTACTGAGCCTTGGACTTGCTGCTTTATCATGCATAATGCTTTCTAAAGTTTCAGTTATTAAATTGGTCAATCCAGAGGTGGTCCTCTTGCTGATTTTGCTGCCCACTAGTGAGGGTGTCTGTCTCGGAATATGTTGGGCTGCAGCACTGGTATTTATCGCCAATTCTTCAGTGGTATCAGATGCTAGTATAGCCATGGCAGTAAAAAAAAAAATCCATGTCATAGAATGATAGAAGATTAGGGTTGGAAGAGACCTCAGGAGGTCATCTAGTCCAACCCCCTGCTTAAAGCAGGGCCAACACCAACTAGATCATCCCAGCCAGGGGTTTCTCAAGCCTTAAAAACCTCTAAGGATGGAGATTCCACCACCTCCTTAGGGTAACCCATTCCAGTGCTTCACCACCCTCCTAGTGAAATAGTTTTTCCTAATATCCAACCTAGACCTCCGCCACTGGAACTTGAGACCTTGTTCAGTCATCTGCCACCACTGAGAACAGCCGAGCTCCATCCTCTTTGGAACCCGCTGTGACAGGTCCGGCACCGCAGCGCCCCTTTGTGGCAGGATGGGGTGGAGAGGCCTCGCCACTCTTACGTTCCCACACCCATACTGTAAGGGCGTTCCAATGTGGCCCAATGGCCGGTTTCCCTGTACTCGTCCCTTAGTCAGGGTAGTGGGACCTAACGGCTTGAGTCCATGTGTCACTTTGAGTATCGGGTGGTGTGGCCTGACGGCCAGGGTCCACATAAATAGCTCCCTGCGTTGGAGCGGTGCGGCATAGCAGCCGGAGTCTATACAATCCCCCGGGCAAGCGGGGTGGTGTGGCCTAGTGGCCAGAGTCTAGATAACTTGCCCCACACGTCAGGGCAGTGTGGCCCAACGGCCAGAGTCCATATAATTCCCTCTCAGGCAGGGAAGTGTATCCCAATGGTAGTGTGTGTGGGGGAGTAGGGGGACCTGGGCCCACCCTCTCCACCGGGTCCTGACCCCAGGCTCTCCTTTTGGCAGGGTTTCCCCTTGCGCTTAGCTCGGCGGGGATCCTCCCGCAACACGCCGAGTGTCAGTGCAGCTTTAACGCTGCCCGTCTCTAAAATGTCCCTGGGTCACTTCCTACCCGCAATGTCGTCTTCTCCACTCTGGGGAGGGGGATCCTCTGGTCCGTCCCCTCCTGCCAAGACCTCCGTCTGGGATGTTAGGTGCCTCCCGGCTTGGTTGGTCCCTGGATCCGGGAGCTTTGGCTGTCCCTCCTCAGAAGCTCCTTCTCCTCCAGTGGTCAGCCCAGACTGAGCACCTTTGCAGGCTTTTATACCTATTCTCCAGTTGGAGCATGCCCAGCAGGGCTTCCAGGGCGGGGCTTCCTCTGCCAGGAAGGAAGGGTTAACCCCTGCGATACCAGTGCAGGGCCACTGTGCCCCGTCACACCCACCTTCAGGTAGTTGAAGGCTGCTATCAAATCCCCCCTCACTCTTCTCTTCTGCAGACTAAAGAACCCCAGTTCCCTCAACCTCTGCTCGTAATCATGTGTCCCAGCCCCCTAATCATTTTCATTGTCCTCCGCTGGACTCTCTCCAATTTGTCCACATCCTTTCTGTAGTGGGGGGCCCAAAACTGGATGCATTACTCCAGATGTGACCTCACCAGTGCCGAATAGAGGGGAATAATCACTATCTGCAGGCAATGCTCCTACTAATGCAGCCCAATATGCAGTTAGCCTTCTTGACAACAAGGGCACACTGCTGACTAATATCCAGCTTCTCGTCCACTGTAACCCCCAGGTCCTTTTCTGCAGAACTGCCACTTAGCCAGTTGGTCCCCAGCCTGTAGCAGTGCATGGGATTCTTCTGTCCTAAGTGCAGAATTCTGCACTTGTCTGTGTTGAATCTCATCAGATTTCTTTTGGCCCAATCCTCCAATTTGTCTAGGGCACTTTGGACCCTATCCCTACCCTCCAGCATATCTACCTGTCCCCCCAGCTTATTGTCATCCGCAAACTTGCTGAGGGTGCAATCCATCCCATTATCCAGATCATTAATGAAGATGTTAAACAAAACCGGCCCAGAACTGACCCCTGGGGCCTTCCGCTTGATACCGGCTGCCAACTAGACATCGAGCTGTTGATCACTACCTGTTGACCCTGATGATCTAGCCAGCTTTCTATCCACCTTATAGTCCATTCATCCAATCCATACTTTTTTAACTTGCTGGCAAGAATACTGTGGGAGACCGTATCAAAAGCTTTGCTAAAGTCAAGATATATCATGTCCACCGCTTTCCCCATATCCACAGAGCCAGTTATCTCATCATAGAAGGCAATCAGGTTGGTTAGGCATGACGTACAACTGGCCAGCAGAGTATGCCTCATCTTATCAGACACAGCTGACCACAGTGCCCCATGGATTCATGACCTCCAGGCTAGATTACTGAAATTTAGTATACCTAGGAGTGAAGCTACACAACCTGAGATAAGTTCCAGTGGTACTGAACATTGTTGTCTGTCTGCTTAGCAGAATGCTGTGAACATACTACCCAGCTGCTCCACTTTCTGCATTGATTCCCAGTACAGTAGAATGCAGTTCAAGGTGTTTATTCCAGTATTCAAACCAGTCCATAGGATTGGCTCTGGTTACCTGAAGGTTGCCTCTTCCTCAATGATCATGACCTCCTAAACCACCTGTTTTCCATTGGAGCCATGAAACAGTCAACAAATAAGAGGAAGCTCATGTGTGCAGGAAAGAGAACTTTCACAGGAATCAGACCAAGAATCTGGAACTTGCTCCCAACTGAGGATAAAAAAGACCTTGCTGTTTCCAATACTAAATGTAAGGTTCATCTCTTTGATTACCTTTTCCTAAATAAGTCCTTCATACACTCACACATATATAGCCGTGCATACATGCTCACTAGAAGAACAAATTTCAGAGTAGCAGTCGTGTTAGTCTGATTCTGCAAAAAGAAAAGGAGTACTTGTGGCACCTTAGAGACTAACAAAGAACAAACAAATCCCTACAGGTGGGTAGTGGGTGCCTGCCATGTACCTGAACTGATGGAATTATAGGATTGAATGGGTGGTCTCCAAGATCTACGGTAAAACAAATGAATACTAATCATCAGAGTTAGGAGCTCCAGTTAGTAGGAAACATTCTGGTTTTTATATAATCAGTATAAAACAGTATGATTTTTAAAGGAGTTTCACATTAATCTGTTGATCTGAGCTGGGCCTGCTATGCTGATCTATGGGACACTGGTGGTATATCTTTCATATTTGGAACCCTGAACGATACTTATCCTTGATATGAGGCGTAAGGTATATTTATCCCTTACATAGTAAGTCCATGGTCTCAGCCCTATGGTGAATGAATAGAAAGATATCTGTATTTTGATTGCAGTGATCTACTTTGTTCGATAATTCAGGAGAGGAATCTTCTAGCTAAAATATTTCCAAGTAACAAGATTCCTTCTTTTTATTTCCTCCAACAACAGCCCAACACAGGGGATTGTGAACAAAGCTTTCGGCATCAACACAGACTCTCTGTATCATGAACTTTCCACAGCAGGGTCAGAGGTCATTGGGGATGTGGATGAAGGAGCAGATCTGCTAGGTAAAAATATTTATAAAAACCGTGTTCACTCCACTGTAGTTAGGGCTGAGTGACAGCTTTAGAAACAGACAATTTTCTTTCTTCCTTTCAGAATTGTGACTCCTTGTCAATAAAAACAATTTGGGATGGAATTTGGGACAATCTAGGAATGAAATATGTAATAATCATAATAAAACTAACAAAAAGTCATTTTAATAGCTTTGGGCTTTGTTTTGTTAGGGCTATGTTTGTCTGTATGCATAAGTTAATTTTTGGGTGTGTGATTCTCTTGCACAAACTCCCTGGAAAAACAATTGTGCTTCCTTATCTTTCACCACCCAAAGATAACTTTACAGACACTTGCAACTGAATATGAAGTGATGGGTTTTTTTGAGTGATATAGATTTGAAAACAGACCACTGTTCTGCAAGAAAGTAACCACTTTTCTAATTTTATAAAAACTTCAAAAAATTTTCTCTTTTTATACAGAAATATTATAGCCTATATTGTATGTTTTACTCTGCTGTAGAGAGTGTGAAAAATAACGCAGTACACCTTTTAGAGCAGGGGTGGGCAAACTTTTTGGCCCGAGGGCCACATCTGGGTGAGGAAATTGCATGCAGGGCCATGAATGTAGGGCTGGGGCAGGGGGTTGGGGTGCAGGAGGGGTGCGAGGTGCGGCAGGGGGCTCAGGGCAGGGGGTTGGGGTGCAGGAGGGGTGTGCAGTGTGGCGGGGGCTCAGGGCAGGGAGTTGAGGTGCAGGAGGGGTGTGAGGTACAGCAGGGGGCTCAGGGCAGGAGGATGAGGTGCAGGAAGGGTGCGGGGTGCAGCTGGGGGGTTCAGGGCAGGGAGTTGGGATGTAGGAGGGGTGTGGGGTGCAGCAGGAGGCTCAGGGCAGGGGGTTGGGGTACAGGAGGGGTTCAGAAGGGAGCTCAGGGTAGGGGTTGGGGTGCAGGGGGGGTGTGGGCTCTGGCCCGGCAGAGGCGCGCATGGGGCCAGGGCATGCTCCCTGCCTGGGCAGAGGGCTCTGCACGCTTTCCTCGCCTGTGGGTACCTTCCCCAAAGCTCTCATTGGCCGAGGTTCCCCATTCCCACCCAATGGGAGCTGTGGAGGGCAGTGCCTGCAGGCGAGGGCGGCGCGCATAGTCCTCTGTCGTTCCCCTCCCGCCCCAGAATGTGGTGCTGGCTGCTTCTGGGAGCAGTGTGGGGCCCGCAGTGCCATGGGGGTGGCAATCCCGCGGCTGGATCCGGTCCACGGGCCATAGTTTGCCTATCCCTGTGTTAGGGCAATCTTGGAAGGGGCTTATTATGTCCTGAAGCCTGGGCACATCACCTGAGGTTCCTGACCAGGACTTTGGAACAGCCAAAGAAGGGAATCTATCCCAGGTTGTAGACTGAGCCCAGTGCCTCCTGGGGTAGAACTTTGGGTGTCTAGGCCCCAGTTCATGAGAGCACTTAAGCACATGATTAAGTCCCATAGAAGTTAATACAGTGCAGATATGATAGACAAAGCCTATAGTTATGTACATCATTCTCAAATCTCAATGTCTTGATTTAAGGAGTTCTCCAGTAACTTGAGACATAAGAGGGCTCTTACAGAATGCCTTATGTGTTCTGAGTATAAGCAAGAGAGGTATTTGAAAGCATTAAGTGTGTAGGGTGAATATATTTTCTTTCTGGTTGTCTCTTGAGCTTGCTGAAATGACAAAGGCTCATGGCCTATCTCATGATTAGTTCTGAAAATACAGCATTCACCAAAGTACTTTGGATGTAGATTCAGTCAAGCCAGTTCGTGATCTTGTTGCAAAATTGCAATGGACCATCTCTGCAAAAAATAAAAAGATATTTAAATCACCTTTGACAAGAAAAGACTATGAGCCTTGTATCTGAACCCTCTAAGGCCTCAAGGGTGTGTTGCTGCATAGGTGATGGTTTATAGCCTATGTATTGCAGTACCTTTGCAGCATTTAGAACAGCTGCATTGTGCAGCAGCAGCAGATCACAAAAATGCTGGCCAGTGCCTGAGTCCTAAGGCATTTATTGTTTAGATTCTGATGCAGGACTGATGAAGAATTTTGGAGAAGAGCCCAGTTGAAAACAACTCATTGTTACTGAGGCTCTTGGCTTGTATATTATGGGAGGTGGCACCTTGGCAGACATTTATTATAATTATGTTTACCAGCTCTTATGGAAGAATATGTCTGATCAAGGGTGAAGCATGAGTAGTACTTTGAGTGCTTGCTCATATCAATTCCAATTAGGTGTGTGCACGCTGCGTGCATGGCTGTCGGAAAGCTTTTCCCGAGCAGCATCCGTCGGGTCGGCCATGGAGCCCCCTAGGGTGGCGCCTGCATGGCGTTCAATATATACCCCTGCCGACCCGGCGCTCCCTCAGTTCCTTCTTACCGCCCGTGACGGTCATTGGAACTGTGGCATCTTGCTCTGCAAGTTCTCCACATTTCCCTAGCTCTATAGATAGTTGTTGTTGTTAGCTTGGTTTGTAGTTCTTGGTTTTGGTTTTAGTTCATGTTAGTCGGGTTGGAGGGTTACCCTCCACCCTGACTTTTCTTCTCGGGGCTCCATGCCCAAATGCCTGGGATTCAAGCCCTGCGAGTCCTGCTCTAAGCCCATGCCAATGGGTGAACCCCATGACTCTTGCCTAAAGTGTCTGGGGGAGGCTCATCAATCTGAAAAGTGCAGGATCTGCAAAGGGTTTCGTCCTCGGACTAAAAAGGATCGGGACTTTCACTTGAAGCAGTTCCTTATGGAGGCAGCATTTAGTCTCCGGCCTCCTTCGGTGTGGCAGGACCTGGCAACGAGCTCTTCGGTAGTGGAGGTGGCACCACGGTTGGACTCTGACTGAGACCTGCGGCACCGCTGCTCCCCGGCACTGCAGTCAGTGACATCGGCTCGGCACCGCTCCCACTCCCTGGGACAGAAGTGGCACCGGAAGCTGGAGAAGGGTAGCTCTCCTGCACAGAGACCTGCTTCCCTGGAGCCAGTCACTGGGGCACATCCTGGAGGGGAGCGCCCGGGAGCAAAGGCCATAGCCCCAGCACCGTCGATTCTGGCCACACGGGGGGAACCACTGAGTCTGGTGCCACTGGACTCCCCAACCTGCAGCGTGGTGGAAGTCCAGCTGCCTTCTACCCTGGACACCTTTGCGGCGGTGAGGGACCTTGTCGCCATGACAGCATTGTGGTCTCCTCTGCTCCACGCCAAGGCCCCAGTGCCCCTGCGGACTGCACCGTCTCGGGGCAAGCAGGCGTTGATCCACCCATGGGCTCCATTGGCACCTGTGGTTGAGCTTCAGCACCGTTCCCGTTCTCGGCACCATTCCCGTTCCCGACACTGGGAACTTGTACTTGCACTGGTCATACTCGCGGCACTGCTCGAGCTCGCGTCGGTGCTCCTGATTGTGCCCCTGGTCGCCGTCATGGAGCAGATCCTGGACCCAGCGCCAGTCCTGGTGCCGTTTGTCATCTTGGCCTAGCTCCAGGCAATGGCGCCGATCCATGTCCCAGTACCACTTCAGGTCTTGGCATCGCTCCCTAGGTTCACGGCACCACTCCATGCAGAACTGGAATTAATTTGCAAACTGGACACCATCAAATTAGACCTGAATAAAGACTGGGAGTGGATGGGTCACTACAAAAACTAATTTCCCTCTGCTGATACTCACACCTTCTTGTCAACTGTTTGAAGTGGGCCACCTTGATTGCATTGGCCTCATTAGCACTACAAAAGTTATTTTCCCTCTCTTGGTATTCACCCCTTCTTGTCAACTTTTGAGAATAGGCCACTTTCACCTTAATTGAATTAGCTCATTAGCACTGACCCCCTACTTGGTAAGGCAACTCCCATCTTTTCATGTGCTGTGTATTTAATCTGCCTACTGTATTTTCCACTGTATTTTTCATGCATCTGATGAAGTGGGTTTTAGCCTATGAAAGCTTATGCCAAAATAAATTTGTTAGTCTCTAAGGTGCCACAAGGACTCCTCATTGTTTTTACTTTTTCTATGGAGAGGTTTGTCCTTCCTAGAGATCAACCAGGAGAATGAACCTGTCACCAAGGAAGAATTTCGAAGACCTCCACGATCACTCTGAAAGCTTCTGATTTTTCATCTTACATACCCAAGTTGTTACACCAAGAAACATATTAAAGCATGCCCTCACCAGCTGTCTTACTGAGGATCATAGAATAGGATTTTTCAGTCACCAGTTTTTTTTGTGATTCTGCCCTAGACAATTTTCTGGTTCTGATTAGAACAACAGAACTCCATACAATCATCAGGAGGCCTCTGTGGCTCATTGCTGGAGGATGGATACTGCTTACAGTCTCAAAGCTGTGGTAATGACGCTGGCCATCAAGGTGGGGAGGCTTTTATGGATTCCCTTACAAGCCTGGGAAATGGGATGAAGTGAGGCCTGTCTGTTTCCTGGAAATGATGTTAATCTATTTAGGCCTTTTGTTGGGTTCTGGTCACCTAATCTAAGGGAAGTTTTGAGTTGGATGATATGACACACACATTGCTAGGATGGGTGAGGGAAAGGAGGCAGGTAGAAGATTTTAGATGTTATACTTTTATATTTAATCCATCATAAGTTTTAGATGGCTCTGGCTATAAATACTTTCTCAAACTCACGGACAAAAAGACTAATTTAGTTTACTGTTTCTTCTGCCCTCACACACTCAAAGTTCTAAAGATCTTTGATAAAGCTGCAGTTTAGCCAAGAAGAAGCTAGGGCTTGATTGTAGTAAATCTGTCCATTTTTCTGCTCTTATCTGACAAGTTGTTATCTCTGGGGCACTTATTTTTCCTTCAGCCCGACTACAGCCTGAAGAATCACAGAGAAAATGCACGATGTAGACATGGATCAAACAGTGGAGAGAGAGCTCAACAGGATCCAGAAATTAAGAAGCATTCTTTGGACCGGATTCTGAATTCTCACCGTGTAAATCAATGGAAGCCAGTGGAGTTATTTCAGACAATCACCAGTGTGAATGAGACAGTCAAGCCTTGATTCTCATATATGGAGACCCAAAAATGGGTGCAAAGTCTTCCAAATGTATTTTTTCCCAGGTGGATTGAGATTCTTAATATCTGAGAAATGTCATTTGTGAAGCCTTTAAAACAACAGATGTCTACAGAAGTTATTTTTGTACAATCCTCAAGAAGCATGTCTATCTCCTGGTTGGAGGGATTTCAGTCTGCCTTTCTGGATGTTTGCAAAGCTAGCTTTGGACTATCATCTCTTGGCACTCTTTTTTGCAGTTTTGGGGAGAATGGTCTAAATTCATTGGTTAAATCCAGATTTCTCATTGCTTAGTTATAGCTTCATATACATTTGTTCATGTAAGGATGTAGTTCAGAGAGTGGTGTGGAATATAAACAATTATTTACTAGTAATAATTGTTAATTGAATTCCCCTCTTTCCAACTACAACCCTATGAACATTCTTCCTCATTTAATCCTACATGTTCATTTTTTACTCCTATAATCTCACTGTATTTACTGTAGGTACAGTATGTGTGTGTCTCTCTCTCACACACACACAAACACCTTTCCTGTTTTCACTGCCCATAAAAATCTGGAAGTGAAGGGTGAGGGGCAAAATGGATGCTGGTTATGGGCTATGGGAGGGTCCCTCTTTTCACTGCTAGGTGACCTGGCAGTGTTTACTTTGGTGACCTTGCTTTTCATAAAAGGGGTTTTGTGATGAAGAGAGAGATTCAGCTAATATACTAGTGGTAAGTTATATGTTATTTCATCACAGAAGTTGAAGCCAAATAACAAAGCCAGTCCCAGTGTTGGGGTAAAAAGACTGTTTTAAATACTAATGGCTGTCTTTGCAGGTTAAGTCATCCTTTGACTACATCATTGGTACGATGAGATATGGTTGGGAAAGACAAATATATCATTCACTTAGGTGAGGAGGAGGAGTGGGCGGGATGTGTGAACTAGCCTTTGGCCAGCAGTTTTAAATAGAACATATCATAGGAAAACAAAGGTTCATCTAGCATAGGAAGACACAGCCTCATCAGATTCTTGTCTGCAAAACTGACAACCAAGGCATATGGTTCCAGGTTCATTGTGGATTATCTTCCCTTGATTTTTTTTTTTTTTTTTATGTTCTGTATGTAGAGTCATGCCATCTGCAGTCATGGCAGGTCCTGTCCTTACTATTTCATGCGTTTTGACATTGAAATGGCTGAATCATTGTTAATTTTTTAACAAAATTTTGATTTTGTTGGTTTCAGTCACTGATTGATCCTTTTTTCACTTCCTTTTCTCCCCTGTCTCTCTGTGCTTCGCTGGACATGGCCCTTAGGGGAGTTCTCAGGTGTGTATCTCTCCTCTGTTCAGTTTCCTTGTTTTTCCTTATCCTTGTTGAGTTTAGATTGAATGATGTGGTATACACATGATACTCCCCTGCTGCTGTCCAATCACAGTTGGCTTTGCAGCCTTTGTTCTGCCTTTTTCTGATTTGGTTGGCTTGGACTGATAGGTCCTGATATAATAGAACATCTCTGCTTTATGCTCACATGCCTGCTATGTCTTGATAAGCTTTTTTTTTGGGGGGGGGGGCTGGGGGGGGGGCTTTCTGTAGAATCACTCCATTCTCTTAATAGGACCATGGGAACACCCTACTATGTCTTTCCCTCTAGTCTGGGGTGGAAAGTTCCTCTTTGTCAGGGCAGGAGCTGTACCCCAAATCCAATCCAGGTGGGCACAGAAATCTAGCTTAGGTTCTCCTTACTCTAAATGAATGAAGATTGAGATGGACTTGAAAGTGGCAGAACTTCTGCTCTTTGTTGAAGCCTTGTCCTCCTGGCTAAACATTTTGCAGATGCTGTCTCTGTGCCTGCCTATTACGCTGTTTTTGTAAAGGAAACTCACTGCCTTAGGGCCACATTCTGCCATCAGAAGAAGTCCCTGGGAGCCCTACACTTGGAGAATTCTCTCCTTCTCTTACAGTGCACTTAGGGCCTGATCCAGTTCCCAAGTTGGATTGGGCCTTTACTGCCTATCCAAGGCAGTTGATGTGCAGACACAAATGTCTTTAGAGGCAGCACAGACATGCTGAGTGACTTCATGTCCCATCGACTCCCTGGGAGTTGAGAAAGCCAGTGCCTCTCAGGGTTGGGCCTGCAGAACACAGAGAGCTTTGCCAAGGAAAGGGAAAGCAGCATGCATCTTCCTTTCTTTTGGTCTGGATTTTCTTTATCATTCTCCCATGAAAGACTAAAGCCTAAGATATTTCCCTGGGAAAAACCTCACTGAAGTGAGTGGGCATGTGGAATGTTCCTGTGTAAGGAAATGGGCTTGACCCTATGTATAGAGAGGAAAGGCACCCTGGATATAAACTATGATTTCCCCCCATTTTAATTTCCCTCTCCTGCTGTCTTTCCCTTGCCCTGTCCATGCTGTCTGGTTAGTTGCCTTTGTTGTTGGGGTGGGAGGCCCAAAGATGCCTCATAACTCAGGGCAAACGATTAAGATGGAAATGGAAATCCTGTGAAGCATATTCTGATATCTCAGGCTTTAAATCCCTGGTAGGCCAAGCTCTAGTGAGAAGGTTATAGACTTGCCCCTACTGAGCATCACAATGTACACCATGCACACGTACATGAGTATGTATCACACACATCATAGTATGTACCATGCACACATACTCATACAGACTGATGAGCTGCTCTATTTGCTGTTTACAGTTTGGTACTTAATGGCTGCTTTTTTCTCTTCCTTTCTTCCTCCCCTTTGTCCCCATCTCTTTCTGTTTCCCCTTCTCGTATGGGATGGCTCTCATAGTGCGGGATGATTTCTTTGGTAAGGCAAAGGCCATTTTTAAAATATGTTTTTTCTTAACTCCTTTTGTCCACCCAACATCTCTTCATGCTTCTTGAGTTCTCTTGGTTTTGTTTTTTGTGGTGGTGGTGTCATCTCTTAGACACAGGAGACAATAACTCAGTTTCTGTGGATTTGGGCTTCTCTTTTGTTTCTGGATGTAGTTGATTATCCACTTTGATGCTTCAGACTGTGACTGTCTGTCTGGATATGGAAGATCTATAGTATGGGATGACTCTATAAAATCTCTCTCTCTCTCTTCCTAGGTTTTTCCTCACTTTGATTGTATGCAGGGGCACATGAAAAGATCTCCTTTTAATCCCACCCCAGAGTTCTCTTCATATAGATAGGATTGTCCCTCTGCTAACTTCTCAGAGCTTCCCCACTCTGTGCACTAAGATCAGGTTGTCTTGGAATACCATTCTGCTGCTCTGGGGAAAACTGTGTCCTGTCCTCTATTTCCATAAATAGCCCTCTGTACCATTCCTGGGGTAAGGTGTCCTGTAGTTTCCACTGTGCCACACAGGCAGCTTTGGGGAAGATATCTGTGGCTTGGGCAGTGTGGAGCTTCTAGTTCTGGGGTGATCGGCTCATCCTCTCCATCACAGCTCCTTTCTGTACTGGAGATGCACCAGTACCCAATAAGTAGCAAAGAAATCAAAATGCAGAAAGGACTAATCCAAAGAAGGTCCTACACATGAACTCCCATTACCCATTCCTCCCTTCTGCTTCTGGAACATCATTATGCCATTTCTGAAAATGCTACTAGATATCCATTTAATTTAGTTTATTGCTAAAAGCCAGTAGGAGGGGGTGGAAATGTCACTTTTAGGGATGTAAGTAGGGTTTAAAAATAGTAACTGTTTGACCTATTAAAATTCTATCAGTTAAACAGTTAGCCATTAAGGAGTTCTGCCCCACCGCGCCCAGGACTCTGCTGCCTCCTTGGGCCCGGGCACAGGGCAGCAGGGGAGTTTAATCATTAACCGAAATCAATAAGACTGATGCTTATCGGTTAACTGGTTAACCTTTTACATCCCTAGTCACTTTATAACCAGAGTCCCATGCCCATAATCGCTGAGCTTCACGGATAGCTCCATACCACATATGTGATCATCTATAGGAAGAAAGAAAGGGGAAATTGCTCATTCCTCTTCCCCCACAACACAAATACATTTTTATTAGGTTAACACCCAGACTGGAGTGTTTGTCTCCCACTTCTGAGGTGTTTGTAGTGTCTCACCCCCAGCAACCTGAGAACACGTAGCCTGAAACATCAAAGTGATTCATTTCCTGTCTATTCAGTATTTTTTAAATTTTACTTTTTAAAATGCTGCTTCTTCTCCATCCTTGCTGGGAATTTGCTTTTGCCATCATGAACCCATCCCATCTAATTGTGGGAAGAGGATCTGTGTGTTGAAGTGTTTTTTTCTCTAACATCCATTTACTTCAAGTGTGAGTCGTTTATTATTTTCCTGTATAAGTGAACTAAATAACACCTTGAATAATTTCTCTTGAAAAATATCTATATCTGTTATAAAGGAAGGAATTTTTGTACAGCAAGGTAATATAATGGAGAACTTGAACGCAAGCCATGGCAGTTGTGTGAGCTCTTTGTACTTCATCATCTGTAGTGAGAGAATGCTATCCAAGCATCAGTGTCATGCCATGAGGGGAGGAGGGTTGTCTCTATGCTTCTACCCCCTAGAATTGTGTTTAGCCCCCATTGGGGAGGGAGCTGTCTCTATAGCTGTAACCCCAAGAGTCCCTTCCAGCAGGAAACTGTCCTGGATGGATCAGTCCCCTTTCAGCGTCACTTAAAAGTATTGAACTCAGCCTTCAGTCTTAGGCTCAGATCTTTAAAACTGTGCACGCAAAAGTGCAACCTCCTAGCCCTGTGTGCGAGCTGCATTTGTGCCATGGCAGCACACCTTTTACAATTTGGGCCTGCAGTGTTGTGGCTCTGAATTAATCTTAATATCTTTAGAGATGCTTAAATAAAAATAAAGAAACAAGGGGGCACCCTATGTAAAACCCTGCTACGATTGCAGTAGTGGGAGGAGGATGGTGCCATGGAGCCTTCATGAGCATGGAGCTGTCTACAAGAACTCTGAAAATAGGTATATTTAAGGACTGGGAGTTTGGCTTCTATTCTAAGAAAAGCAAAAATCTCGTGACACCCAGTGATGGGTTGTAAGTTGGACAACACTCTGCATTGCTATAAATCTGTGGACACTAAGAACCCCTGAACTCCTAGCTTCCCTCCATAGCAGTCGCTATAAGGAACGGTTGTAGTATGTCAGGGTTGGAGTGGGAGTCTTAGACCCAGCTTCTCCTAACCAGCTTTAGTGCAACCATCTCCTTGGCCCACCCCCTCAAGGAAGGTGAGTGGTTAAAAAAAAAAAGAGTATCCTTTACAGAAAAGACACATGGACACTTTTGCTGCTGTTACGTATTATTTCAGCAGGAGGCACTCTGCAGCAGGACACACAGCTGTAAGGCTGCCTAACAAAAGCTATTTCTCCTTCTAAGCATCAGTCAGTTAGCCCAGAATAAGGCTCTGTGTTTCTGGAGGTGCAGATCAAAACTTCCGGGCCTCTTTTTTCAGGAATGGGCAAAGAAGTGGGGAATCTGCTGTTGGAGAACTCACAACTTCTGGAGACCAAGTAAGAAACCTTTGCATGTTCTGAACTGCTTATCTGTTTTTATACGCTTCCTGTCATCTTGGAATAGATCTGCGTCAGAACTCCTGCCTCATTGAGACATGTTGGCATCTGGTTTGGCAACCTTTCTTTGATGGTGTTGGCTCCTTGGAGTTCCTCTTCCTCAAGCCATGTTTGAGGGGCTTTCCTATGCATATTTCTTTGTACAGTCACTTGACTGAACATTCCACACACATGCTTGTAGGGCCTGACCCCTCTTGAAGTCAATGGCAGGCTTTTCATTAACTTCATTGGCAGCTGGAGCAGTCCAGAATGGGCACAGGTGACTGTTAGGAAACTATCATGTTCTGAACTCTTCACTGCAATGTTTGCCTTCTGCAAAACATAATTGTGACTCACAAATGTCTTAGAATTCTTTGAATATATCAGCAAAATGGTGGATAAAAGAGAACCAGTTGAAATAATTTATTTAGACTTCAAAAAGCCTGTGGACAAGGTCCTGCAAAACAGGCTACTAAAAAAGTTAAGTTGTCATGGGGTAAGAGGCAAAGTATTGTCATGGATCAAAAACTGGCTAGAAGACAGGAAACTAATAGTGGGATATTATCATGGCAAAAAGTTAACACCTGGATGACTCAGTTCCAAACTACATTCTTTGTTGTTTAGTATATTTATATGTGATCTGGAAATGGGGATGAGTAGTGAGATAGCAAATTTTGCAGATGTTTAGGTTAGTCAGACCAGAGAGGACTGTGAGGAATTTCAGAGACACCTGAACAAGCTAGGTGAATAGGCAATATGATGACAAACAAATTCAATGTTGATAAATGCAAAGTAACGTGCATTGGAGGGAAAAAATTAAGTTATTCACATACTTGTCAGAGTTGTAAATTAATTGTATCAACACAAGAAGGGGACTTGGCCATCATTATAGACTGGTCAATGAAAACTTCTGTTCAGTATGCAGCTGTCGTCAGAAAAAGCTAACCAAATGTTAGAATGAATAAGAAATGGGCCGTAGAATAATACAGAAAAAAATATAATGCCATTACATAAGTTGGTGGGACATCCTTTTATAGAATACCTGTGTGCTGTACTGGTCGTCCCATCTCAAAATTAATATTATAGGAGGAGACAAATAAGAGGGGACATGATAAAAATATATAGAGCCATGAATGGCATCAAGAAGGTAGATTAGAAACTTCTGTTCTTTCTGTCTCATAACACCAGAACAAAGACAGTCAAAGAAACTGAAAGGAGAGAAATTCAGAGCCAATAAAAGGAAATACTTTTTTAAACAACAAACAATTAGACTGTGGAACTCACTGCCACATTAAATGGTTGAGGCTAAAAATGTAACAATATTCAAAAAATGGATCTGATGGCTATCAAGAATATCCACAGCTATTGTAATGAATGATAACAAAAAAATTGTAGAAAGGATATTAAACCTCATGTTGTGGAGCTTAAGCCAAACTTTATTAGTGACCAAGATGTGACCTAACGTGGGGGGCAGATTACACCATGTCTGCCTTTTGTGGTGTGCTCACTTGTTCCCCTGAAGCACCTGGTGCTAGCCAATCGAGACAGGATTTCAGACTAGATAGTCTGATGCAGTCTGGCAATTCCTGTGTTCCTATCTACTCCCTCCCACCACCCCAGCACTTTTCTTTGAGTTCCCACTACACTGAATGCTTTTGTGGCATGTGTGATTTTTTTGTTCTCAGCTGCCTGTAGGAGGCAGTTTCTGTTCTCAGTGCGTCTCTCTTTACTGTTCCTTTCCCTGCCTTAAAGAAATGCTTTGAATGTTGTGAAGAATGATTTGATTGCTAAGGTGGACCAGCTATCTGGGGAGCAGGAGGTGCTGAAGGGAGAGCTTGAAGCAACAAAGCAGGCCAAAGCCAAGATGGAGAACAGAGTCAAGGAACTGGAGGAGGAGCTTAAAAGGTGAGTGCTGCACCCACTGCCCCAAACAGCTTCCTAATATTTGATTGGTGGAAAGAAAGGCCACAAAAAAACCCTAGCTAATTCATACACCTCTGCTGTCAGCTTAATTCTTTTCCCTCATGGAATTTATTATTGGAATTCAAGGGCACCTCCTGGCTTAAATATGCAAATTTATTTTCTTGCTTTTTAAGTAAAAAAATATTTATATTGATTTTTTTTTAAATTGCATGAGAACTTTGTTAGATTTTAACATTTCTCAGCAGTGATAACAACCCATTGTTCCAGGGCTTGGACACAACTGTCACATGCCCTTATGTTGTGCCAGCACCTTTTTGAAGCTACTGTCTTGTTCTCCAGAATCTCAGCTTTCACTGTCAAAGAATCTCTAGCTGTTATGGTTCAGAAGAAAACTTCAGAAATGTGGCCAGAATGCAACCATAGCAGAGATGTCTATGTGAGAATGCCAAGAGCCTGGAACAATAGCTCTCAGAAGGCTGAACTGCCCCATTCATTTCATTAGAGGGTTATCTCAGATGCCGAGTAATGATATTTAAATGTCAATATTGTTTACTATTTGCTCCCTCCTGCTCAGAGTGAGATGGAGAGTCATGGATCTGCACAGTTGACTCTAAGTGACATCTCATTTTGGTGCCATAAGTGGGTGTCATTTGGGAGATACCACCATTTATTATTTTCCCCCAATCAAGTGGGAGCCAACCCCCAGGAACCTAGCAGAGCCTATCATCATAATTTTCAGAGTAGCAGCCGTGTTAGTCTGTATCTGTAAAAAGAAAAAGAGTACTTGTGGCCTCTTAGAGACTAACAAATTTATTAGAGCATAAGCTTTCGTAAGCTACAGCTCACTTCATCGGATGCATACAGTGGAAAATATAGTGGGGAGATTTTATATACACAGAGAACCTGAAACAATGGGTGTTACCATACAGACTGTAACAAGAGTGATCAAGAAAGGTGAGCTATTACCAGCAGGAGAGAGGGGGGGAGGAGGAACCTTTTGTAGCGATAATCAAGGTGGGCCATTTCCAGCACTTTACAAGAACAGTAGGAGGGGAAATATTCTGCTGCTCTCCTTTCTTCCGTGTCAGGATCCTGAACTCGACCATCTCATGGTCACTGCCTCCCAAGTTCCCATCCACTTTTGCTTCCCCTACTAATTCTTCCTGGTTAGTGAGCATCAGGTCAAGAAGAGCTCTGCCCCTAGTTGGTTCCTCCAGCACTTGCACCAGGAAATTGTCCCCTACACTTTCCAAAATCTTCCTGGATTGTTTGTGCACCACTGTATTGCTCTCCCAGCAGATATCAGGGTGATTGAAGTCTCCCATAAGAACCAGGGCCTGCGATCTAGTAACTTCCATTAGTTGCCGGAAGAAAGCCTCGTCCACCTCATCCCCCTGGTCCAGTGGTCTGTAGCAGACTCCCACCACGACAGCACCCTTGTTGCTCACGCTTCTAAACTTAATCCAGAGACACTCAGGTTTTTCTGCAGTTTCATACCGGAGCTCTGAGCAGTCGTACTGCTCTCTAACATCCAGTGCAACTCCCCCCCCTTTTCTGCCCTGCCTGTCCTTCCTGAACAGTTTATATCCATCCATGACAGTACTCCAGTCATGTGAGTTATCCCACCAAGTCTCTGTTATTCCAATCACATCATAATTCCTTGACTGTGCCAGGACTTCCAGTTCTCCCTGCTTGTTTCCCATTTGTGTACAGGCACTTGAGATAACTGACTTATCGTCCTCCTTTCTTAGTATGAGGCAGGAACCCTCCCTTTCGTGCTCTCCTGTTCCTGCTTCCTCCTGGTATCCCACTTACCTCAGGGCTTTGGTCTCCTTCCCCAGATGAACCTAGTTTAAAGCCCTCCTCACTAGATTAGCCAGCCTGCTTGCGAAGATGCCCTTCCCTCTCTTCGTTAGGTGGAGCCCATCTCTGCCTAGCACTACTGCTTCTTGGAACACCATCCCATGGTCAAAGAATCCAAAGCCTTCTCTCCGACACCACCTGCATAGCCATTCAATGACTTCCACGATTCGATGGTCTCTACCCAGGCCTTTTCCTTCCACGTGGAGGATGGACGAGAACACCACTTGCGCCTCAAACTCCTTTATCCTTCTTCCCAGAGCCAAGTAGTCTGCAGTGGTCCGCTCAAGGTCATTCTCGGCAGTATCATTGGTGCCCATGCGGAGAAGCAGGAAGGGGTAGCGATCCGAGGGCTTGATAAGTCTCGGCAGTCTCTCCGTCACATCGTGAATCCTAGCTCCTGGCAAGCACCAGACTTCTCGGTTTTCCCGGTCGGGGCGGCAAATAGATGACTCAGCCCCCGTGAGGAGAGAGTCCCCAACCACCACCACCCGCCACCTCCTCTTGGGAGCGGTGGTCGTAGAACCCCCATCCCTAGGACTGTGCATCTCATGCCTTCCAATCCACGGAGTCTCCTTCTGTTCCCTTCCCTCAGATGTATCATCTAGTCCACTCTCCGCATTAGTACCTGTGGAGAGAACACGGAAACGGTTGCTTACCTGTATCTGCGTTGCTGGTACATGGACGCTCCCTTTTCTTCTTCTGGAGGTCACATGCTGCCAAATTTCTTCACCGTCCTCCTTTCCCCCCTGCGCAGCCTGCTCTGAATCTTCAGAACGTTGTGCCCGTAGAAGCATATCCTGACATCTGTCCAGGAAATCTTCAGTTTCTCTTATGCAACGCAGGGTCGATACTTGTTTCTCCAGACCTTGAACCTTCTCTTCCAATATAGAGACTAGCTTGCACTTTGTACAGACAAAGTTGCTTCTGTCCTGTGGAAGAAAAACAAACATGGCACATCCACTGCAGGTCACAACAGCTGAACACTCCCCATCCATATTACCTTCCTTCTACGAGCTTCCTTAGGAGCTGTAGTAGCTAGTCAGAGAAGCCGGCAACATGTAAGCCTCAGTGGGCTCTCCCCAGGCAGTCTCCCTCTGTTAGCCTCTCTGCTGTTCGCAGCTGACTGGCTTTTTATAACAGTCAGGCCTACTCAAGGCTCACCTGGAACAAAGCACTCCCAATTCACACTTTTCAACCAACCAGTCAAGCACACAGTCAAACTGTCAAACTGTCCCCACAACAGACACTCAGATACCCACCAACAGAGCCTCCCTAATGCAGCCCTTAGCGTATCTCCTCTCAGACAGATCCCAGGCAAACTCCCTCTGTTAGCCTCTGTGCTGTTCGCCACTCAGCTGGATTGCAAGAGGGAAGCTTTCTTTAACAAAAAACGCTGGGGCTGTTTTTCCTATTTAATGGTTGCACAGTGGCTGATTAGGTAAATCCCAATTGTATTGTGATTTCTCAGGGCATACTGCAGACCTCATTGCTTTTCTCTCATGGGAATTGGTTACCAAATACAGAATGTAGACTTGCTTATGCTTATATCTTGTGGAGTGTACGTTGTTTTAAAGGGACACTGTCAGGTTAAATAAATTTGTTTCCATGTCTTACTAGGAATCCTTTAGGTTACTAAAACTTCAGTTCTTTAAAAAAAATCTGACATATTCTTTGCTATTTATACTGGATTTTTGCTTTTTTTTCATGTCTATTGGCTTGTGCAATGACATTGGATTAGTTAGTTTCATATTTCTTTTGGTCAGTTTCACTTTGGCACAGCACTTCAGTATTGGGGTTGCAAACCCAGCAGCGGAATGTTTCTTTTTAAATATGAGGTAAGTATATTACGCTTCGTGTGAGTTGTTCACAAAGTGCATTGGAGTAATGCCCAGTTTCATACATGACACTCCTGGTCATAACTTAGACATATCTTAGGAGAAAGCAGGGATGGATCCTGCAGAAGTCAATAGGTCCTTGCTCCACAAGTAGACCCATTGATTTCAGTAGAACTGTTCACAGAGTAAGGTACTACTTAGCATGAGTAAGACTGTCAGAATCAGGCCCATGGTGGCTTGTTTGTACAGGTCACAGTGGGAAAGAGGCTTGGTAAATATATTCTATACTTTCATACTCTTTTATGTATAGTGCTCCAAAGGGTGACTTAGAATCTGTCCAGCAACAGCTGCCGACATATTACTTTCTGGTTTGTTTGATTTCTTCTTGTTTTCTAGAGTGAAATCTGAAGTGATCATTGCCCGACGAGAACCCAAAGAAGAGGTGGAGGATGTAAGCAGCTATCTCTGTACAGAATTGGTATATTACATTATTAAAATGCCTGTGGGGGAAGGGGTTAATATTCTTGTTCTGTATTACTTTGTTATCTGAATTGTAGCTCAAAGTCGCTGAGATACAGATCGCTCTGCCCTTGTTGATGGTGAGGGCAAAGCTGGCCAACCCTAGGTTCTTACTGCTGAACATTGCCAGCAGTCGGGCTCCAGCATGTGATTTCCTCTGTATATGCCTGTTTATGTCAAATCATAGGCTGGCAGGGAGCATCACTTCTCAGTGACTAAGCACATCATGTCCTCAGGGTGCCTGCTGTTCAAAGAGGTAGTTTCAGAGTATATCAGTACTCTGTTCAGCATTGCTAGAATATTGTCCTCTTCAATGTGTTCCTCCCGTAGCATCTAATTTTCCTCTTTATTCAAATTGCAGTCAGTTTAACTGGACAATCTGTGCTAGAGTTCATTATGATATTGCTTACACAGATGAGCTTGTTTGATTATGTTAGCTATGTTGTAGCCTGAAAGGATTTTATGCAGTGTGTCTTGCACTGATCTGAAAACTCTAGCCAGTTCCATAGCAATGACCATTTTAACTTAATGGCTTTACATTCTCCCAATTTTGAGACAGAAATTTTTTTTTACACTCTGTTTTTTCATAATGTTTTTGAACTATCTAGCATTGGCCACTGCCAGATGCAGGATGCCAGAGGAGGGGGACCAGCGATCTACTCCGTTCTGGCGAGTCTGATGGTTCTTGGTCATTTCTTTGGGTGTTTTTTGCTAAGGTTAAGAATTTCCAGTTTTTCAACCTAGTCCAGCTGTAGCCAAAAACCAGACAAACCAAGGAATGATAGAAATACCACCTGGAAATGTCACCTCTTATGTCACAGGAAATCTGATCCACCTACTCTCTCCACACTAGCACACAGAAAAGACGTTCTGTTCTTATTGGCTGAAAAGTATTGGGCCAAATTAATCACTAGTGTAATTCTATTGATTTAACTGGAGTTATACCAGAGATGAATTTGGCCTATTGAAAGCTTTGAGTTTGTGGCAGGTTTGCAAATCACTCCTGTGAATGCTGGATGAAGGGTTCTTTTTTGAGCAGAGCTGTGCCAATAGACCTGTGTTTTTAAATAAATAAAAATAAAAATGCAACTCCCACTAGATTTTTAAGAGTAATTTACTCTTCACTTACATACTTCCTCTGTCTGCCACTCAGATGAGTTAATTTCAAAGAGAAGAAGGCAGGGCTTTAGCTGGCTAGTTTCCACTAGACCATTTTGGTGTAGTGTTGCACCATCCAAAAGAGCTACATCAGCCTTTTGGGCTGAAATGGGGATATTAACAATTATAGACAAAACCCAGTGCTGCTTCCTGGTAGCATGTTTACAGCATATTTAAGGTTTCCTGTAGGCAGCCTTTTTCCCCAGCTGTCGGGGGGGGGTCTTTGCTGCTTATCATGCATTGCTCTCATTTCCCTTCCCCTGAGGGGAGTGTAGCATGTAAGGTCTTTTTCCCTTTTCTGGTCCATATGTAGATCCACCAGCCCACAACAGCCATACTCGCCTCTACTAAAAGAAGACATACTTATGTTATCCTCCTCAGGGAATCAGACAGAAGGTTGTTGGCAGGGACCGGGCGGGGGCTTTGGCCATTTTATAAATGCGGACATTGAGATTCTTCTTTGAGTAGATGCAGATGTGTATTCCATTTAGGTATGTGCGCCCAGCAAGCTGAAGCTGGAGCTGGAGACCTTTGCCTAGCAATACCTTGAGAGTACTCATGGTACCTCTCCTGGCTATATGAGGCAGCGCTGCCCTGACCCCCTTCAGTTCCTTCTCATCTCCTGTGTCTGAACTCAGAGCTCTGTGTGGTTGTAGACTCCCACCCTTACATTTAATCTTAGCCTAGTTGATTGTATATAGTTAGTTAGTGGTAGTTAATAGTCAGTAGATAGTGTCCCCTGGTAATGCGCTCACTGTGGTTTAAACATTGCTCTTCGTGTGGAGGGGCGATTTCCAACAGTGACCTCATGCGGTGCCCGCTTTGTCTCAGCAAGCCCCACCTTAAAGAGAGTTGTTTGATTTGTAAATCATTCAAGAACTGGATTCAGGTGGTGCAGGACCTTTGCCTCAAGCAGCTCCTGCTTGAATAGACTATGCAGCCTGATCTGGTACCAAGGCCTCCTTGGACTGAAGATTACCCTCGGGCTTGGAGCATGCTGCTGCCTCTCCCAAGAGATGGAGGAGCTGTCCCAAGAGATGGAGGAGAATCCAGGATGTGACGGAGTGTTTGCCGATACTGATCAAGACCTTAGACCGCTACCCCTTCCTACTTCTCCACGTGGGCACCAGTGGTACTGCCAAGAATGATCTTGAGCGGATCACTGCATACTGCGTGGCTCTGGGAAGAAGGATAAAGGAAGTAGTGTTCTCATCTATCCTCCCTGTTGAAGGAAAAGGCCCAGGTAGGGACTGTCAAATTGTGGAGGTGAATGCGTGGTTAAGCAGGTGGTGTTGGAGAGAGGGCTTTGGATTTTTCGACCATGGGATGTTGTTCCAGGAAGAAGGATTGCTAGGAAGAGATGGGATCCACCTAACGAAGAGAGGGAAGAGCATCTTCGCAGGCAGGTTTGCTAACCTAGTGAGGAGGGCTTTAAACTAGGTTTGCCGGGGGATGGTGACCTAAGCCCAGAGGTAGTGGGGGAGTGGGTTACCGGGAGGAAACACAAGGAGGAGGGTACAGGACGGGAAGCCTCCTGATTCATACTGAGAAAGTAGGGCAATTGGCTAGTTTTCTTAGGTGCATGTACACAAACGCAAGAAGCCCGGGATGAAGCAGGAAGAATTGAAAGTCTTGGCACAATCAAGGAACTATGATGTGATTGGAATAACAGAGACTTTGTGGGGCAGTTCACATGACTGGAGTACTGTAATGGGTGGGTATAAATTGTTCAGGAAGGACCGGTATGGGAGGAAAGGTGGAGGAGATGCATTGTATGTAAGAGAGCAATATGATTGCTCAGAGCTCCAATTTGAAACTGGAGAAAAGCCTGTTGAGAGTCTTTGGGTTAAGTTTAGAGGCGAGAGCAACAAGGACGATGTCGTGGTGGGCATGTGCTATAGACCACTGGATCAGAAGGATGAGGTAGATGAGGCTTTCTTCGGACAACTAACTGAAGTCTCCAGATCACAGGCCCTGGTTCTAATGGGGGACTTCAATCACCCTGACATCTGCTGGGAGAGCAATACAACAGTGCACAGACAATTCAGAAAGTTTTTGGAGAGTGTTGGGGACGACTTCCTGGTACAAGTGCTGGAGGAACTGACTAGGGGCCATGCTCCTCCTGACCTGCTGCTTATAAACAGGGAAGAATTGGTAGGGGAAGTAGGAGAGGGTGGCAACCTAGGCAGCAGTGACCATGAGATTGTTGTGTGACAGGGTCAGGCCAGATGGCTATAGGAGAGTGATAGAAGGTACATATATTAGCCCCAGATTAAGCAGGTCCCTTTTTCCTGAGTAAAATAATGGGCTGTTCCAGAACAATCAGGAAGTTGCTGGAACCAATTAAGGCAGGATAATTAGGACACCTGAAGACAATTAAGAAGCTACCAGAATCAATTTGGACAGGCAGGCTAATCAGGGCACCTGGTTTAAAAAGGACCTCACTTCAGTTAGTGAAGTGTATGTGAAGAGCTGGGAGCAAGAGGCGCAAGAAGCTGAGAGGTGCGTAGGCATACTGCTGGAGGACTGCGAAATACAAGCGTTACCAGACATCAGGAGGAAGGTCCTGTGGTGTGGATAAAGAAGGTATTGGGAGGAGGCCATGGGGAAGTAGCTCAGGGAGTTGTAGCTGTCACACAAGTGTTACACGAAACACTGTAGACAGCTATGATCCACAGGGCCCTGGGCTGGAACCCAGAGTAAAGGGCGAGCCAGGTTCCCCCCATCCCCCTCAACTCCCTATTTGAGACAAGAGGAGGTGACCTGGACTGTGGGTCCCACTAGAGGGAAGGTCCCTGGCCTATCCCCACCAACCCACTAGCTGGGTCAGCAGAGACTGCGGGGATTGTTCTCCTCCCTTTGCCCACGCTGGCCAGTGATGAGATTAGCTGAATGAATGGCAGGTTTGAGCCACTAGCAAAAGTGGCCAAACTGAGGGCTGCTGTAAATCTCTGAGGCGAGCAAACCCACCAATAAGCGCAGGACCCACCAAGGCAGAGGAGGAACTTTGTCACAGTTGAGTTCAGCATCCTGACAAAAGGAAGAAAGGAGAGTAGCAAAATACGGACCCTGGACTTCAGAAAAGCAGACTTTGACTCCCTCAGGCAACTAATGGGCAGGATCTCCTTGGAAGCTAATATGAAGGGGCAAGGAGTCCAGGAGAGCTGGCTGTATTTAAAAGAAGCCTTATTGAGGGCGCAGGAACAAACCATCCCGAAGTGCAGAAAGAATAGCAAATATGGCAGGCAACCAGCTTGGCTTAACAGTGAAATTTTGGAGGAGCTTAAACTCAAAAAGGAAGCTTACAAGAAGTGGAAATTTGGACAGATGACTAGGGAGGAGTATAAAAATACTGCTCGAGCATGCAGGGGTGTAATCAGGAAGGCCAACGCACGATTGGAGTTGCAGCCAGCAAGGGATGTGAAGGGTAACAAGAAGGGTTTCTACAGGTATGTTAGCAACAAGAAGAAGGTCAGGGAAAGTGTGGGACCCTCACTGAATGAGGGAGGCAACCTAATGAGACAATGTGGAAAAAGCTGAAGCAGTCAGTGCTTTTTTTGCCTCGGTCTTCACAGGCAAGGGCAGCTCCCAGACTACTGCACTGGGCAACACAGCATGGGGAGTAGGTGAGCAGCCCTCAGTAGTGAAAGAACAGGCTAAGGACTATTTAGAAAAGCTGGACATGCACAAGTCCATGGGTCCAGTTCTAATGCATCCAAGGGTGCTGAGGGACTTGGCTGATGTGATTGCAGAGCCATTGGCCAGTATCTTTGAAAAATGTGGCGATCGGGGGAGGTCCTG